TAGCTGGGAATTGTGCTTATTTTTACAAACATTGTAGTAATTTTACACCCATTGTAGTATTTTTACAAACATTGTAGTAATTTTACACCCATTGTAGTATTTTTACAAACATTGTAGTAATTTTACACCCATTGTAGTAATTTTATACCCATTGTAGTATTTTTACAAACATTGTAGTAATTTTACACCCATTGTAGTATTGTTTACAAACATTGTAGTAATTTTACACCCATTGTACTATTTTTACAAACATTGTAGTAATTTTACACCCATTGTAGTATTGTTTACAAACATTGTAGTAATTTTACACCCATTGTAGTAATTTTATACCCATTGTAGTATTTTTACAAACCTTGTAGTAATTTCACTCCCATTGTAGTATTTTTACAAATATTGTAGTAATTTTACACCCATTGTAGTAATTTTATACCCATTGTAGTAATTCTATACCCATTGTAGTATTTTTACGAATATTGTAGTAATTTTACACCCATTGTAGTAATTTTATACCCATTGTAGTATTTTTACAATCATTGTAGTAATTTTACACCCATTGTAGTAATTTTATACCCATTGTAGTATTTTTACAATCATTGTAGTAATTTTACACCCATTGTAGTAATTCTATACCCATTGTAGTATTTTTACAAACATTGTAGTAATTTCACTCCCATTGTAGTATTTTTACAAATATTGTAGTAATTTTACACCCATTGTAGTAATTTTATACCCATTGTAGTATTTTTACAATCATTGTAGTAATTTTACACCCATTGTAGTAATTCTATACCCATTGTAGTATTTTTACAAACATTGTAGTATTTTTACAAACATTGTAGTAATTTTACACCCATTGTAGTATTTTTACAAACATTGTAGTAATTTTGCACCCATTGTAGTATTGTTTACAAACATTGTAGTAATTTTACTCCCACTGTAGTATTTTTACAAGCATTTTAGTAATTTTACACCCATTGTAGTATTGTTTACAAACATTGTAGTAATTTTACACCCATTGTAGTATTTTTACAAACATTGTAGTAATTTTACACCCATTGTAGTATTTTTACAAACATTGTAGTATTTTTACACCCATTGTAGTATTGTTTACAAACATTGTAGTAATTTTACACCCATTGGACTTATGTACATCAAATTATCAGATATTTTATAGAGATTTTAATACTGTGTACATATTTTGTGTAACTTTTTTTGGGTTCAGTACCAAGATTTTTAATTTCAGTATGGGAAGTTCTAGCAATTTGAATTAAGTCACGATGCCATGCACCCCACTAGTTAATAAAAATGTTTAAAAGATAAATTTGGTTATAATTCTTCCCCAGAACCTGGTTATATATTTCAGGCGGCACCCTGAATCATATTGGTAGAGTGACTCGGCACACCACAGTTAAAAGCTTGCCGACCCCTGTTCTAAATTACGGCCCTCCGACATTTGGTTTAACTTTGAAAATTCGTCAAAGTTTGCAAAAATTGGTAACGTTTTTTTGGCATTTGCCAAAATTAGACCTTTCATCGACGTTTTCTCAAAAACGCCTGAACCGATTTCAGAAATTTAAAAACCATTTGATGTATTTCGATTAGGACTATCGTTTGTCAGAAACGATCGAAGTTCGAAAGATATTATTTGGGAATAATACTGATTAGTTTTAGGTGAAAATCTACCGAGCCGTTTTCTTGTAATTAACTGTTGAAAAAAAAATTTATGCCGATTTTTATGGAATTTTTTTTAGCGATATATATCATGGTCTTATAGAAATTACTGTAATATTACGGCCTTACGACAAGTAGTTTAATTTTAAAAAATCATCAAAGTTTGAGAAAATGAGTAGTTTTTTTGACGTTTGTTAAAATTAAAATTAGACGATTCACCCACTTGGTATAACAATAGAATACTTGGTCTTAATGAACATAATAAATTAATAATATCCTACAAAAACTGGTTCAATTATAAAAATTATTGATTTTTGAAAATTTGCTTTTACAAAATACTCCGAGTTAACGTGTTTGTTCGTTTTCAATTATGTGTAATAAATACACTCGGAATACTTTTAATCAATCATAAATTAATTTATATTTTATTAATTAAGTCAATTATTTACACATATCGGGAAGTTCATGTAACTTGCCTCAAGGCTAAAAACCAAACCAACTAGTTTAATAGTCCTTATTAAAATATCTATGTCAGCAAATCAAGTATGTAAAATGATCAGTAAAAGTAGTATAAGAGTAAAAAATAAATATCTAAGGATAATGTGATTTTTGGTAGTGGATTTAATTCGAAATAGATAATTCTTTTTTAATAGCAATTCTATTGTAATATTAATTTATGAAATTATCAAGTATTTTACAATTTTACAATTTTTTTATGAAACTTGTTAACATACTTTGGTACATTCGTTTTAAAGGAAGGCATTTCAAAGATGATCAATTTTGAAAATTTTAAATTCATAGTTCAGCATATTGTCTTGATTCTAAAAAAACTTGAGAAAATTGTGTCATTATTTTCGACTAGAAAATAAAAATGTTATTGAAGGTTAAGTTTCCAAAGTTTAAATGACCAAAATTAATAAAAATTATTCATATTAACCGAAATGATCACAGTTTGATCAAAGCTCTAAGCTATACTTAAAAGCTCATAATTTTCAAACCACGCAGTATAGTTTTTTATGATAGTTACGATACTATCACTTCATTTCGGCTTGACGTTAAGTTCTGGGACACCCTGTATATATATCTACGTCTAATCAATTTCTTGAAGCTTTGGAAAATCTTTCCAAGAATAATTCTCATATATTTCAGATTTTATATACAATCATTCAAAGAGGAATTAATAGGATGGCATTGTATTCTTTAATCTTTTTGACATGAAGCTATTAATTATTAATTTTAAACAGTTGCAAGGACAGATCGAAATAGTGCATGTACTTGACAAGCGTTCGCTTTTGTAATTCGGCCTCATTCCTTCGCGTATTATAACTCAACAATGCGGGTACATTGTCATTTGAAACTCGAAATAGTGATAATGTTAATACCATTCTATGACGATTTATCAATTTCATTTTCATTTCACGATGACATTTTTCGCACAAAGAGAACATTTTCAAGTCAATCATATTTAAGTATTTGTTATTATGTATGAATAACAAATTCATTTAACAGAGTTTTTTGTCAGTCAGAGTGAAAGTTCCGTAGCCATCCCGTAACCTTCCCGTAGCCATCCCGTAACCTTCCCGTAGCCATCCATTAACCTATCCGTAGCCATCCCGTAACCTATCCGTAGCCAGCCCGTAACTTTCTTGTAGTCATCTCGTAGCGATGGCTACGCTATTATCTTATTATGATCTCCGTTTAAATTTATTTTTATGTGGCTCTCTTTGAGCAAGATGACGACTTTTAGAACTGCATATTTCGTGGAATCAAATTAACATATTGAATTTTCAAGATTATTTTCGCTCAAACAGTATTTAAATAATATTACTAACAATAAGTATAATACATATATTTAGTAATATCATTTAAATAAAAAAAGGTTTATAATATAAATAGTTCTTTTAACAAATGAAATGTAGTTAATTAATTAATTAATTCATCTGTTTACTGAAATTTCATTAGGATATTAGGGTATTATTACACTGCCCGAAATTGCTTTATATATAAACTAGCAGATATTAGTCTCACCTGATACCGTCGTACCTTCAAATGAGTAATGAGCTTTATTCTAAACTTGAAGGACTCAAAATGGATACATCTTGATTCCAGGAATACCAGTGAATCTGTAAATGATTGCAGTATAATTGTTATTAAAATTATTGTATTAATACAAATTAACGAATTACTTACCCATTTACTTGTTTTCCTGAAAATAAATAGAACCCGAAGCAGAATTTAACAGCAAAAAACTATGATAGAATTTCTATTCTTGAAATCTTCTTCTCTACCCTTAATAAAAAGTTCTTATTTTTTTAAATTTATGCATACCAATTACATTTTTACTAAAAGATAATTTATGTTGATGTTCTTTATTTTAATTTAACATAATTTTATTAACTTATGCTTTGACAAAGATTTCTGATAGCAATAGTAATGTTCTAAATCAAATCATAATTAATAATATACTATAATCACCTGGATATACTTTTTATTTCAAGATTTTGATTTTTAATTCAATTATTTACTTAAAGCATCTAAAAGATTATAATTTTATAAGTGTAATTGTAGTATATTTGATTAAAGGTTCAAAATATGATCAAACACAATCAACAAACAATGGTATTTTTATGCATTCTTATTCAGACACTACCTCTAAAAAAATTGACATATGAAAATATATTAGACCATAATTTAAAACAATCTATATTGCTACAAAAACAATTTTTTCTGCATAAAGTTGTGTCTGTATAATCATTTCGTACAGTAATGTCTTCAAATAGAACTAGACAATAATAATTAGCACTACAACACTACAAGCAATGAAGTGCAGAGTTTACTAAACTCTGTTTTCTGTATATTCTATAGATATATGCATTATATGACAATTTTTAATTAACTACTAATTAATTTTTTCTTAAGTTAAAATTGATATAAGAATCCCAGCCATAAATAACAAAATATATCTATAAATAACTCTTTTTACTGTTTTATAAACCATTTTCAAATCACTGTTATAGTACTACTTACCAATAAAAAAGTGTTGAGATCTATTCAATTATCAATATACATATAGTATCAAATTACTGCCAGTGCAAAAAGTTTTGGTTTCTAATTATCCAAAACCGATTAGAACAAATAGAAAACAGTTCATCTAAATACATGAAAGCAAAGAAATGTGACAAGAAAACATTTGTAATGTTGTCTATTGAAGAAGATGAATGTGTTGAGAATCAATACTCACTCCATTAGATCAAAAATAATAAGTCATTATTCCAATTATAATAAGAATATTTAATTATTATATAAAAATATTTGTAAATTATTAATACCCAAAGTTTTGTAATATCAGTGCAATTTGGCAGTAACCCATATACATATATACATATCAAATTAAATTTTAAAAAATCAACAGCTTCTTGTGCAATATGCTTTCATCTTCACCTGATATAAATAAAAAATCAATCTTGTAGGACAGTCATATCACATATTTCAAAAGCCGATTCACACAGTCCACAAAGATACGCTACTAAAATTCTCTGAAAACTATCAGAAAACTAAAAATTTGAAATCAATTTTTGTTTATTCATTTATAATTCAAACCACTACATTCAGTTCTGCATTATTTTCATATTAAATATATACATTCTTTTTACTTGTGTTAGTAGTAATACAACAAATATTTCTTGATGAAATAAAATAATATTTTTACCAACCATCTGAATTTAGGAAACTAATAAATTGTTGGACTCTGATAATTGTTTGAAGAACACTCGAATTCAACATGCAGAATTAGCATATCGCACATGATTTGAATTTAAAAATAAATTTCAAATATGATGTTAGGTACATCATAAAAGATGGTACAAAAGTCGATCAAAACTAGCTACAATCCATATCTGTTCTATAGTACTAAATAAATTGACAAGTCAAGACGGCTTTGCCATATTGTCAATTCCTAAACTGAACTTCTTTATTTATAATTTAAATATTTTCAGCAACCTATGAATCGGTTGTTTAAAGCCCAGATTTACAAAATAACATGTTAAATTGTTTTATAGAAAAATAAAACAATTATCACATCCCAATATACTTTCATTAACAAAGTTCTATTTTATCCAATTTACTTACAAATTAACCATGGTTTTGGCTTATAGGTTTTTATATTTAACCCTAATATGTGTTCTAATAGATTTAATGAAGCATTTTACACTGACAAATAAAAATGAATTTTTTTTTTTTTCAAATAAAATGACTATAAATATTAATACAGGAATACCATTTTGTTTACAATAAAATCACTGAATAAATTACTAAATAATAAAATTCTGCACTAAACAGGATAATTATTAAAATATTAAAAATATTACATTTATATTGTACACAAAACCTTCCCAGTCCTCTGAAGCAAAAGAAATACTTGCGCTGTATGATCAAAATGGTTGATGAGTAGCAAAATAAACATCCAGATAATTTTTGGGACACTTTTAACAAAAGCTATTAAATCTGGAAACAATTTTGCCCCCATCCAAAACAAATGATCCAAAACGAAACACATGAATAAAGTACTTATTACTCACAGAATTAGGTTCAGGGTAGGTATTATATAGTTAAAGCAGATTTTCTACAAACTTAACGACACTCCCATACTTTCACCGTCTGATCAACACTTCCAGTTATAACATATGGACGAGATTTATGAAAATCTGAAAAGAGTAAAAACATTAAAAATTGCTCAAGAAAAAAATAGAACTACTTGAAGTTTTACCAATATTAGTTTAACGAATAAAAATTTCTGAAATTTTCGGAATTAAATATTATGATCTAAATTTAATTTTTTATGATCTAAATTTTCTTAAACTTCCTTAAATGAGTTTTAAAAATAAAATCATTAGACTAATAAAGGCTGAATATCAGGGTACATCCATCAGCAAATTATTTAATTTGTCAAGAAAATGTCGACCATACATTTGTGCCATCGCAAATGTCTTCAAATTTATCAATCAGTGATTAAATTAGACACACAAAGATTATGCAAAGCTTTTAAGAAAATATGATGGTCACTACATTCAAAAAAAAAATCTCTCGTAGTCATTTATGTTAGTTTAATGAATTTACTCACCAACAGACGTGCAAAAATGTAAATGAGCACCAAGGACTTTAACGCAACGTTTAGTTCGTAAGTCCCAAATTCGTAGCGTTTTGTCATCACTTGCGGACAACATGAATTTACCACCAGGATGAAAAGCGATGCCGCGGACCCAATTGTCATGCCCCATTAGAGTGAACAAGCTCAGACCAGAGCTAACATCCCACATCTAAAAATAATAATAATATTGTAGGAAAAGAAAATAGGAAATTTTTGAAATTGAAGCAAGGCACTCAGAGAATTCAAAAACTGCCAAAAGAAAGGTAATAAAAATTACTAGTATAAATCTCTCACCCTAATAGTTTTGTCTCGTGATCCAGATGCCAAAAATGGTCCCTGATGGGCACCTTTTTTATTATCAGCTCCAGCTGCTTCATTTATTGCAGATGATGCAGATTCAGGAGCCCAAGCTATACATTCGACCACATGATCATGTTCTCTTAATTCAGCCTATAAAAATGATAATAGAGTATAAACTTTTAAGTTCAAATATAGAAATATTATTCCTAATTATTAATTTTATTATGAATCATAGATGTACCTTGCATTCTTTAGAGTTCGTCATCCAGATACGAACTGTCTGGTCATTAGAGCATGAAGCAAATAGTAAACTATCAACAGACACTCTAACCATCCTAACCCACTCTCGATGGCCCACATATGTTTTTACACAGTATCTATAAAAACAAGAAAAGGTAAATCAAAGGGTGAAGACAAATAATTGAAATTGCTTGATGTTGAAGCATATTATTTGAATGAATCAACAACCAATTTTTGAAATAACTTATACAGTGATTTTAAATTAAATTGTACATCATGTTCTTGGAACGGGCAACTTAAAACAAACTCATAGTGCAATAACAGGTGCTTCAATTATTGGCGTTTTGCTATAGAATATAATTATAAAATTTAGTAATTATAAAATATATTGAAGTGTCTCACCCAGTTGCTACCTCCCACATTTTAATAGTCTTATCGCGGCTAGCACTTATCACATAATCACCAGCAGGGACAAAGGCTACAGAGGACACATTGTGATCGTGCCCATGTAAAGTTTTAACGCATTCATACGTTTGTTGAAAGTCCCATAATTTTATAGACATATCAGCACTACAAGATGCTGTGAACATATTACATATTATATATTACAAACATCATAAAATACTACACTCTAGAATAAATCAAAATTAATGAAATATCCAATTACCCAGCATTTTTCCATTTTGATCAAATGACATGTCTTGTACTGAATCCGTGTGACCTTTTAACGTTCGTTCGTGTTCTCCTGTTTCGAAATCCCAAACTTTTAAAGTTGCATCTTCACTTGATGAAACCATTACACTAAATACAGGATGAAATATCACCTAGAAAAAACAAAATATTGTGAAACAACAAATTACCTTCATCTCGCTAGTCAATAGCGAAACCGATCAACTTTCTTTGATGTTTAATATGTACTATTAAACGTTTTTAAGTTAAATTCAATAACACAGTTTCAAATAACAACCAATGCATTCATAGTCTCAAACCAAACATCAGATTTGAGTGAAACTGTATCCGGATTAACATTTCTGAATATAGTTTTGAAATCAATAAGGTTCATGAAGTGATCCGGTTAGGATACTTTAGTAATATTTCTCAAAAATGCAAATTTCATGAAATTATTGCAATATAAGTAATAATAATATTTTATTTGAAGTTCTTGGCAATTAATCAATTAAAATTTGGTAATTATACCTTTGTTATAGTTGCCCTGTGTCCCACAAGACTGAAACTTTCAGGAGAGCGAGGAATCCATTCCGCCGGACTGCGTTTAGCCCGCGTTGGTGCACCTTCTATAAATTCTTTTTCAGTTTCAGCTAATTTTGCTTCAAGTTCCATCACCTTTTTCTGGAGGCGTATAACTGACGTCCATTTCTTTTCCAGAATACCGACAAATTTACGTTCTACATCATTGTTGGCCGGCATGCCGGCTTCTTTCTTGAACGCTTCCAAAGCCTCGCTGAAGCCATTACTGCTAAGGTAGTCCGCGATTGCTTTATTACTGGAAAGAAAAATTTTGAGATTAAAAATATATATAAACAAGTATAATAATAATTGCCACAGTGTAGATTTATTCATGGTTACTATTGTTTTGGACCATGTGTAATCAAGTTGTTCCTTTTTGAATTGAGCAAAATTATTATATTCATCTAGAAGAGACTAAAATCATTTTTTCTCTATGTAATAAAGATATCAATATATTGTTCAAAATAATCCTAAATTATATCGTAAAGAAATGGATAAATATTCAGTTCATTTACTTGTCAAACAAAAATTTGCATTCAATAGATTGGTGGCAAATATAATTTGAAAGTATAATCAATCAATCAATCCATTTCATTTGATTTTAATTTAATAGGTTGAAGACTGCCAGGGTTCTATAAACAGACAACAACCCCGTTTAGAAACAACGCTATAATTTATGATATGTAAAAGAGATTCAAAATGAAAACAAATGATGCCAATTGGTGTTATTAAATTACATGTAAAATAATTTATATCTCTAAAATATCGTGTATATTTATTCTCAAAGCGCATTGTTTAGAGACATGTTCTATTCAATTTTAATATCAATAAGTATAATGCATTCTTGCTGAAAAAGAGGTGATAAAAATTGCGGTAGCCAAATTAAAATTTAATTCTTATATTTTTTCTATGAACAAAAGAAATACAACAACTATTCAATAAATTCCCAATTGTGATTGCTATTGGTAATTATTATAAATTCCATTCTTTATTAAAGGATTCAAATGCGGTCCTACCTACATTAACAAACGTTTTAAGAATGCCGTTCCAGTAAACAAAGATTAATAAAAATTGTTTATATATACGAGAGCTGCATATTTCTGGTAAAATTAAATACATAAATAACGTGATTCATATTGAACATTATCGCAAGCTGGTACGATGCTCTATCTAGCGTCTGTAAGTCGCGATCAATAAGAAACTGTTTGCGTCAGAAGCTTTACACATGAATAAATGAGGTAAATCTTAAGATATTATAAAACGAACATATCTGGTTTTACAAGGAAAGTGAATATCTGGTTACAATAAGTTATAGAAAGATTACGCAATAGTCATTAACCTTTTCAGAAATACTGCAACGTTGTAACAACGTTGTAATGGAAACAGAAATCAACCCTTTAGGAGACTTTTCTTCAGCAATCAGAAGAAGTCCTACCCAGACTTTCTTAATGGCGTAGCTTTGTTGATGGTAACCCAAGCGGTTGCACTATCTTTATGTAATGAATATATGTAATACGGATGTTTTTTTTTTATTGATGCAGCAATGCCTGGTAAGGGATATTTTCATTTAAAAACATATTGCTCTCTATATTTCCAAGTAAAAAGTGATGTCACTACTGATTGACATCAGGCTGGTCAAAGTGGGTATAGAACAGAAATTCTGATTAAAATCCCATATCTAACTCATTGGTTATCCATATACAAAAATTGAAATACCGTTAAATTTTCGTTTTCACTAATTGGAGTTAGAATATTTTTTATCTGTCCAGGAAACAATACATAAATGAGAAATTGTTTTCCTAATGATATCTAAAGAATTCTTTGGTTTTTAAATTTTTATTTATCTTGGTCTCCTAATTAAATTTTAATCACTTTCAGCTATTTATAAATATGTTATATGACACTTCGTCGCTTCAAGTCTGATAATATCACGCAGTGTAGGATGCTGCTGAAGCACAAACATGGTGCGTGGGATTCACGCAATCGATTGATATTTTAATTATGAAAATATAATCAAATCTCAAATAAATTAAACAAAAAAATATAAACATGATATAATAACAGTTTATAAACAATTCTAATTAAATATTTTATGCCAGGCTAAATTGATAAGCGTCTTTAATAAACTAAAATTAATCAACAATAATAAATAGACATAAGTTTGCAATATATTATGCTTGCAGTGCATATTGCATTTAAAAAATTGATAGCTTGCATGTTTTTGTTATTATCAGGAATAAAACGCAGTAATAGGAAAAAGTTAAAAAAAAACTTTTTTGATAAGCAATCAGAACTTAAAAGTCCAATGAGCTGTTGTGATGATACTTCAGACTACATACAAAGGCAACGATTGACCAATTTATATTTGACATAACTTTTTATTAAAATTTCTCTACTTATGGTGATATATTTTGAATTATATACTGCAATGGCTGGGTAAGACTTGCACTTAAAACGTATTTTAAATCAATGTTTTTAGGGTGGGTATCAAATCTGGATCCCAATCTACACACCAACCTTTGGGTTGCAAGACAAAGCTTTTAACATGAGCCACGGAGAAATGATACATAATATTAGAAATTTTACTCAGTATAGGTAATTACAGGTCAACTTGCTGATTTAAATCTTTATCTAGTAGTTAAATAAAATTAAGACTGATTATGACAAATATAATTAGTGAAAATTTCCATTGGGCTAAATAATATTTATGACCCACTGCGTCACTTAAAATAAAATAAAATTAAGAAATTGATCGTACTAAATAATGCATACATGATTCATACACATTATGAGTAATTTATTTGAGATTTATGAAAACAACTGATTCTATGAAGCAAAACTGAACAAAGTACTTCCATAATTATACGTCATTTCTGCTTCGCATTAAAATTTTAAACGAGCTTCGGAATTTAAACAAATCTAATAATGAGAAATCAATATAAACAAATTATGTACTACGTTCGTTGAGTTTACGCTGATATTTTCCCATTACATTTGAAAATAATGAAGAACTTCAAGGCAATTACTTTGCCTGTTTCAACTAATATAGTACTTGACAATCTCAGACAATACTTAAAGAATTAATGGGCAAAGATTTGTGTGACATAGTTATTATTCATGTAAGTGGAACAAATTTATGTTCGTTAATCTGTAAACTGGTCTGCTCGCTCATTATTCATATCTTTGGCGAGAGTAAAGGTTAAGTTTAACGGCCATTTGATGCGGTTAAATAAATCAAAACGTTCAGAAATATTGATATATTCAACAGACAATGTAAAGAATTGATAATTAGAATAAGAATAAAATTTTAAGGATGAAGAGTAAATAAAAGTGAAAGGAAAAGCATATTCTTGAAGTGCATACACATTTTTTCGGAACAGCAATCAGAAGAGTAGCAACCCTATGAGTCATCTTTTCAGAAAGCAACCCAATAGTTGGTATATCTATATTCGATTTTCGTTATTAGAATTTTACTAACACTAATATTTATATTTATAATATTAGATAATTTTTAAATTAACTTCAACAATCTATTAATTTATTGATAAGCATTTAATAATGGTTTTGATCGTTCTCAAATTATGAACTTTTTCAAATCTAAATATCAAATATTATTAGTTCAATGTAAATGTATTGTAAAATTTAAATGTATTATAAAAATATTAAATTTTGAAGCCAGATTGTGATTTATATATACTCAAACTTATTAGATGGTCAAATACCTCAAACCACTTGCATTTACTAAATGATTACAGTATTATAAAAGATCAAATTGATAATTCAAAATATCTTAAGTGCTATTTTATGGCGGTGAATGCTTACAAACGAACAAATGATGAATGGGCGCACGAATAACGATATAATAAGATTTTAGATTTATTGCGAGTAAAACTGTACAATACTGACTGACCATCAATTTAAATTTTCTATCATCAATAATGGCCTAGGCATTTAAATAAATAAGTCAGATGCGCTCGAGTGGTTTCGTTAATAGATGAGCATAAGAGATTTTCTTATGTATTCAAAACCTGTAATAGGCAGGTTTTTTAAATAGTTTTCCAATAGTTAATATCCATTGACTTATATGTACTCTTCAATTGGTACACGACATATATTAAAATTGTAATAAGCTTTAATGATTAATTAAATATTACGTGTTGATACATATAACTTCCAAACATCCCTATATGCTAAAGTAAAGTGTAATTTAGTGAAATCGCAAGCAGCATTAAATTTCAGCAATATCATTCTTATATTTACAGCCCACTCATTGTCATTCAAACCAATTTATTGATAGATAGATTGACAAAAGTACAGTAAATGATTATAAGGAATAATTGAGATAATTAGTTGATTTCGTTCCCTCGTTTGGATATCAAACTCAACCCTCAAATTCTTATTTTGATTTTGTAGATTGAAATGAAAAATATCATCTGAATCGTATTTGATTGCAACGTAAAATCTTGGATGGTGATAAATACTTTTCCTTGAAAACCCTTAAATTTTATTTTACATATCTTATTTTGGTAAAAAATGCAAGCATTAAATTTTATCAATACTGCCAACACTTTTTTGTTTTGAACATATGCTATAGAGAAATATTGCGGTGCAAAACAACTCAAAACCTGCGGAAACGACTACTTTACTGCAATAATTTAATATACACATTTATGCTAATATAAATATTTTTTCCCTTTCAATGATCAACTAATAATAATATATATATATATATATATATATATATATATATCTTTATTTATTTATTTGTATACACGTGTCCCATAGCAAATATCTAGTCATATAAATTCATACGATAGCATATATACGAGTAAAACTAGAGTAATGACATTGACAACAAATAATGGTCAAGACCAAATAAGCCCACATGTTCACACATTTCTAACCTTGCAAAAGGAATAAATATCTAATAATAATAATAATGTTTAATAATCGGTATCTATCCTACATTTAGTGCAACAATGTTATTTAAAGTGTGATAACTTTGCACTTCGATATGATTAAAATAACCATTAAATTCCGCAATGTCGACAAAAACGCGACATGTGAGGTTAAATCTAAAATTACGACCTTGAAATTATGCTTTAATGAAAGCATATGCGATTTAGATAGCGATGATATCATTATGGAGTGTCCACGAAGTCTGAACGTCTAATGAAGTGAAAACACTAGAATCTTTATTGCATACTTACAAATAAGAAATTGCCGCGATTTATTAAGTGTAAATTCAATTTGTCA